TTTTTAATGAGCGTTACTGACTCACAATCGCGGTTCCCTTTTGAGCGTTTAAACGCGTTTTTCCAAATGTTTGTCTACTTGGGTGTCCATATATTTCATTTGTACAATCTAATCCGCAAGTTAAACTAATTTTCTTTTTAAGATCTTCTATCATAATATGATCATCTGAATACTTTTTCTTGTTAATGCTTAATGCGTTGGTATATTTATCCAATGCTTTATCAATATGTCCTTTCTCTTTATCTATATTTCCCAACATATGTAATGAATTAGCTATATGTCTATCATCTGGAGGTAAACGTTTGCAACGTATTTCATCAGTAAGTTCATAGTAGTTTAAAGTTTTATTCAAATCCTGTTTTCTACTATGTATATGACCCATTTGATAAAGTGTGCAGTGATAATCGTGTTCGTCATGTGACAATACATTCAGTAATGTATTCAAATATTTTTCAGCTTTACATATTAGTCCCATTTGTTTCAAAAGAAAGCGTCCGTACAAAATTGTTGGACTATATAATTCTAAATGTGTTCTTGACAATCATAAATATTTTTGTACATAATCGGAACCTTCATCGGTTGAAATCAAAGATATTGTCCAAATAGAATCAATTAGTTCTACTTTATTAACTTTGAATACAGTGAAAAGAATTTCATGTTCTCGTCCGCCAATAACAGCATAAACAAGTGATTTGTGACAAGCATGAAATGTAATTTCAAACATAACGGATTGAATACCGTGTTCATCTTTTGCCTTAGCTATGTATTGTTTTGCCACTTAGTCACAATATGATGTTGAGAAAAATGTGTTTGTTAATACTAATTTAACAATATTCTCTTTTAACCCTTTACCCCCCTACCCCTCTCCCCTTGGTCACTGAAGTGACTATCTGTAGATCGATGGCAAAAAATTAAGAAAGCATGGAGTTTAAAAGCTTTGGGAAGATGTCTTGTAGCGAACTCTATCAGCTATCGATAGGTAAAAGAAATATTTTGTTACATTGTTTTGTCTCCGAAAAAGATGGATTACACAATCGATGACTTTTAAAAAATCACAAAAATTGGATTTTTTTCCGAAAATATTTTTCTTCCAACAGGCAAGATACATCTTGATAACCTATTGTGTGGTGTATAACAACAATAATGCCTACTACCAATATTAATGGTAGTAGGAGGATTGAGAAGTAAAATCAACATTCACCTGTTGGTAACCATATGATAACATATATTTTAAATTGATTGTATTAGTGTATTAATGCCTTATCTTGTGTATCGGACCAGCACCTTAGCGAAACCTCTTCATTAATAAATATAGATTAAATCTTTTCAAATCGAGATATTTTGGCTTCGTCAGTTTCTGCTCTATTTATCCGGAAAGCAAAAAACGAAAAATAAATTTGATCGGCGGTTGGTATTTATTTTATTAGGCGGTCTTATCATGGACCGTCTCTTAAATATTCGAAAGTTGACTGAATACATTAAACTCAAATGGCCTCTCCCTCTTCATCGTGCGATGGCCCATTGAAAGCCTGTAACATCTGCAAAACGTTGGGCACGAGCATCACGAGGTTCTACCTCATTCTGTGGGGATACTCGAGAAGAACTGAATCGATTGGTGAAAAGCTACAGCCTTCTATCTTTCTTAGAAGAAAATTCATCTGCACTTTACTGAATAAGCGCCAATGTGTATTCAGTTTTCGTTATTTAGCGGAGTTGATCTTTCTTATAAAAGCTTTTCTGACAGCATTTCCTAACGTAAAACACTGAGCATTAATACCAAATAACAGATGGCAACAAAATCTATATATTTAAAGAAAAATGATGTTACATTATTAAGTTTTGAGGTAAAAGATGTCCAAAAATGCAGTGTTAGAACTTATCCTCAAGGAAATTTCTAGCAATAGGGTCAATACGTATGATACCTATCACGATATACAAAAGTGTTGGCGCCGACGTCGAGACCTACCTGACTGTATGGGATTCAATGAGCTGAATCGAATGATGAAGACCGCACGTCCGTAAGCTTATTGGAAAAACGTTATAGTCACTTTACTCTACCAACGAAAAAGTACACTTTTCATTATTTTCCAGCAGATTTCATCCAACTCTCCTGAACAAGAGACCTAACGAGAACCTTGAATTGCTCTCAAATGAACAATCTCGACCAGCTCTAAATATTTTGAGATAAAACTCGTGACTCTAAGTTATGAACCACTGTTAGCATACACTGTACCACTTAGGTCAACCACGCTGAAAAATGAACTAAAACTGTAAATTTCCGGTAGTAGAAAGGAAAATGTACATAACTTGGTCTTGACTAACAAAGTCAGACACCTAATGCGGCTTTCACTTTCATTCGCTTTAGCAGCTCGCCGAGGTTTATAAAATAATTTAAAATCTCACCGCCTTCGGGGAATATAGGTATCCAGTGGACTGACTGACTAACTAACCACATTTCAGTTCTTATTTCGATCAGGTTTAAATACATTAAATCAAATAAATGCTACAAATATTATATTTCCAGTTCTTATCAATCATAAGCACATTAGACTATTAATATGTAACGTAACTAAGCATTGTTGGTCTATTCTTCCTTTTTTTATAATTTGATTTTCTTTCTCTTATTAAATTAAATTTTTGGATTAGAAACAAGTGTTAGTGATTGTATTGGTTCAAAGTGTAGAAAAAATCGTTTAAATGAAACTTTAAATAATATTACAAGTGCACATGAACACAATTTTGAAGTATATGAAGTGTACACGAAAAATGATGTAACCGAATCTGTCTATGGATTTTGGGAGGTATTGTATGTATCATACGCAGCAAATAAGACTTGATAAAAAAAAACAGAAATCTCATCATTTTCCACAACATGTGTGTAGTCAGTTGATGATTTTATATTTTTGTAGTTGATGAATGTTTATATAATAATGCACTTTATGGACTATATAACGATACTGACACTACTTTGAATTTCACTTCAAATGGATAGAAGTGGTAAAAAAGGAATACAACAGCAACAATACTTTTTTATGGATGCTCTTTATTTTACTTAAATATGAATTTTATAAGGTTTGTTAACTTCTTATTCGAACAAATACTCAAAGTGTCTAATTACTACTACAATGTTTATACTCAGTTCTTTTATAACTAGAAAACTTTATTCTTTTTTTGAAGTATAAAAGAGTTCATTTATTCAAAGTATTTTGAACTGTCTTTAGGTTTTTTTTTCTTTTTATCGTACTTTCTGCAAAAATAAACTATATTCAGTAATCACTTACCACATAACCTTCTTAGGCGTATAATTCTAATTTTACTAAAATTAGAATTATACGAAAGATCACTGAATGATCTTTTGCGAACAGATAGAGTATAGTGAGGTAATAGTAAAAATCTCAAAATGAATTTGAACTGCTCTTATTGCTGCTTTCAGAACAAATCGGTAAAACAAACACGGACATCTCGTTCTTTTATGTCCCTCTTCTATACATTCCTGAGATCTATAAAAAATTTCGGCTTTTAGCTCGCGCTTCATTCCTGTAAGTTTTTCGCAGGTTTATCCTTCAATGCACGTACCATGAAATGACGTCTAAGCTCATTGGTTCTTCACTAACACTATGCATACTTTAAAAACTGATATTTTTACGATTGATGCACTCGCTCGTGCATAATTGAAAATGTATTCGTTTTATTGGTCTAAAACTATGATTTTCAAGGAGGTTTCTAGAAAACTGTTAATGAACTATCAGGTTGAAGATATCTTTTTAAATTATTTTTAGTTTCATAATACAAAGAACACCTAAAACAAATCAGACTAAGAATGATTATGATATAGAAAAATGCAGACTTTAACGAGTTTCAAATTGAAATGAATTAAATTTTTCAGAAAGTATACCGTCAAGCATTTATATGCTGAATAGTATAGGACTGTCACGACTTTATCTACAGTGACTCTAAAAACTATTGAACGATGTATATTTTCAGTTTTTCTCCTCGAAGATAATAGCTACAACAAATCTGAAGAAAGATTTGCGTGCCTCAAGGAGTTTAGTCTGTGGCAAATAAAGATTTCATTGAAGATACTGCGATCCAGGTTTCTAGAAAATCAGAACTCTAGAAAATTAATTCCGCGAATTTGACTGATACTTCTTTTGAAGTAGCCTCATCATGTACAGAAAATATTTTTAAACAAATCAAGACGTCTCTGAGCGCCCTACAACACCGTTTCATCAACCACCATTCAATTTGAGAAAGGCTCTGTACCACCAAAATTAGCGAAATTAATCGGAAAACACGAAAATGTCCTTCATCTTTTTACCCATAAGTCTAACAACGTTACGATTTGAAACAATATGCTATAGTTCATTTTGTAGCCCTTTCAATTCTGCACTTTTCAAATATATAAACTATGTCTAATCTCTGTCTGTAGAAGAAACTATAATCATTTTTATGTGCCACTACTAGTAAAAATTGAGATACCTATCAAGTTTCTATCCGCTACATCTATGAGGATAGACTTTTCAAACAATGTACTGTACCACCTCATTTGTAGCTTTTTCAATTTTACATTTTAATGTACATAAATCCTTTCGGATGTGAGTGTGCTGACAAAACTATATCCATTTTATTATATTCAATAAGGTCAGGCTGTACATGTGACCTTATAATGTTTGACCAATAATTCTGTGAAAACATTAGTTTGAAAATGTGCTGTAGATCATTTTAAAGCCTGTGTAATTGCGCATGTTTTCATATATAAGATTCTATTAAGAACATCGAACTCGTAGAGAAAAATGACTAAATACGATCGAATAGGCTTTTTGGATCGATGCTCAGAAATGTTTAAAAATTTCCCCATATGGTAGTCTACAATCAACTTTTAAGGCGCAGAAATCAAAGAACTAAATAACGAACGGTTCCAGTCGTTATCTTCTATTCTAAAATATATAGGGCCATTTTCTTGCAGAAACCGTCT